TTATACAAACTTAATTCGAATTGTCATCGGAGTAAATTGCTTCAATAAACTTTGAATAATAATAATATATATATGAATTTTCAATCAAAATATTCATATTACTTGGAAATTGATCAAGTCAATAGAGACTTGTCAATCAATTCTCAAAAAAAATTTGAAAATCTATTGATCGATTAATAATTGGCAAAATTTGAATGACTAGTCAGAAAATTCACTATTGACCATTATAAAATGCAGATATACTGAGGAATAGATATCTGATTACAAATTGTATATAATTTTTATTATATACAAATAATTATTAATATTAATTTATTAATATAATTATTAATATTAGAATTATTGAATTTATGTTCTTATTTATATTGCGAAAGTATATTAAAGTATAGTAAATTGTACTATTATAAATCTTAATAAATCAGCACTGCAAGAAAATTATTTACATGACTAATATCATTCAAATATATAAATTATCAGAGAAAATATTAAAGACCATTGTATATGGATTTCTGTACATAAAAGTTTTAACAATGATAATAATAATAGTAAAACTCTAGCAATAGTAAAATTGTAAGGATTAGGTAACATATCTTACTTATTAAGTATATTTTAAAAAATTAGAAAAAGAATGCGCTTATTGTTTGATTTATTAATTCAGATACACATATTTTCTTACTCATAAATGAAAAACAAAAAAAAAAAGTAAAATTATGTTATCTAAATATTATGGTTTATATAAATCGCCATCATTATCTAATTTCTACATAATTTATTTCTATAATCTAACCTAAATTCATAATGATAATAATAAATGATACTATTTAATCTATTATTATTAAAGCTAATTATAAGTGTAAGAATAGAAAAAAGTATACATAATATATATATGTTATATATAATATAATATTATATATAATATAATAGAAATACATATATACATATATACAAATATACATATATACATGACTGTTGTTTTATTTCAGATATATTTTAAATTTTATTAACCATTATTAAGTCTTATATTGAATTTATAAAATTATATAAGAAATATTTTCACCATTATATTTGAAATATGAGCTAATATTCTATGATATAGAAATCAAACTGAACATTATGTTAGTTACTTAATAGAATTTTTATTTTTCAAATATGATTTTGATAATCAGATATTAACATTTTTTAATATAATGAAAAAAATCTTTCCAGTTAATAATAAAAGAATTATTTATTATTATTTATTAAAAAAAATATGATAAAATAATTATTTATTGAATTATTTATTTAATTAGATTAATGTGCCGGATTTATTTTAGATTTAAATTAATTTGATTGGATTTAATTTAATATAAATCAAATTCAAAACTAATCTAATTCGAATTAAAAAGTACTATACTATAGAATATTATTATTAGAAATACGATATATTCCATATAATATACATTTGTATCTAAATCACAAATTAAAGCCAAATGACAACATATATAAAACATATAAAAACAGTTATTCAAAATAAAATCTATAATATCATATTTCAAAATTCGTGAAATGAGCTCATTTTTATAATTATATTGTATATCTATATATTATAAATGTATATGTTAATATTTTTAGATTGTAGATTCTTCTAAGATATTCTTAGATTGTTTCCAAAAATATTTTTAGAGATTGTAAGAAAGAAATTAAAAAAAAAGATATTTAATATTAGGGAAAAGAATATACAATTATTTTCAAGCGATCAAACCGATCGTTCATTTTTACATTTGTTCGCAAGTGCCAATCATAATATTCTTGTTATGCTATGCTATGTATCGCAGTATGTAGTTCAATGTGGATAATTGCTTCATGATTACCTTGATATAAATCATCTTCTGTACAGAAGATAAAATCTTAAAATCACGATGAACAATTCATTTCCAAGTAAAGAAGAAACAATTAATCGACACTATTGCTATTTGTTATTTCTCCCAAATTTTCAAATTTTCAATTATAAAATTTGGATTTACCTTAAGTAAAAATAGTAAAAATATAGAATAGAACAGAATAATAAAATAATTATTATCATTGCCACAGATAGATTAATTAATTAAATCCACTTAGAGAATAATATTATCAAGAATCTCACTCTTCCAAACTCATTATTTATCTTTTCTATATCATACATATATATATATTTCATTTAGAATATTCTGTAATAATATTTTTCAATAGTAATATACAGTAACAGATATTTCACAAACATTAAATATTATTTCTTTAGCAATCAAGAATTGAAAAAAACTGAAATCAATTTTTAAAATAATCTTCTATTATCTTGAAAATTTTATATAAACAGAAATGAATGAATTTGATTTAACATTTTAAAAACAAAATAACATTCTAAAAACAATAATAGTATATTAATAGCAAATGTAAATTTACTAACAACAACATGAAATTATGGATTAAATGAATTATTGTGTATAATTCAACTTTAATATAATAAATCACGTATATCATATGAAAATATATACTCAGAATATTATAATGATTACATTTTGAACTAGTTAAATTAATAACAATCTCAGTATAGTAATAAAATTCTTAAGAATCAAAAAAATATAAATTAAATATATAAGATTAAAATCCTATAATTTTAAATAATTACTTTTCAAAACATGATGGTTCATCATAGAAAATAAGAAAAATTCTATGCTATTACGAAATTCTAAAATACGAGAATGAATTTAATAAAATTGATTTAATAATTCTAAAGAAAAATTGTACCATTTATTTCATATGAATTATAAGTAGTAATAATATTATCATGACAAGAATATAAATTTAGATATTTTTTTCTTCTTCCTCATTTTTTCGCTAATAATATAAAATAAAAGGATACTTAAGATAAAAGGTGCGATATTAAAGAATTAAATTAAAAAAAAAAGAAAAAATAGAAAAAAAATATAAAATTTATTAAAATATTAAAAATTTCAAATATTTGAAATAACAAGAACACCAAAATTAACAAATGTATGATATTGTACAATGTTGAAACAAATTTAAAAGATATTCGAAATATTATATAAGAGATATCGAATTTATACACCAATTATAATATCATATAACATAAAGTGATTGTTTCTTTTTTAATATTAAATTTAAAAAAAATACAATTTGTAATGCAAATTTCAATGTGTTGAAATAATTGCAAAGAATATTATTAAATATACATTTATACACGTATGCATCATAAAATATTAATATTATACTTATTATATTTATATGTTATATATTACATATTTTGCATATTTTTAATATACAAATATCTTACGTCAATTTAACGCAATAAAATTGACATAAAAATTTTTATTAGCAAAATAAAAAAATATGAAATTTAAAACTAAGAAAATATCATTATTCATCATATATACATTTATTCAGACTAAATAATAGAAAATAGAAAAAAATTATATTTATTGTAATAAAAACAAGTTTTAATAATATATTACTTAGTATATACTGAATAAAAAAATGATATCAAGATTTCAAAGTCCATTTTTTTTAATTGAAATGTTTCTTCTATATAAAAAATTTTCTAATTTTTTATAAAAAAAAGTATTTAAATATTTAAAAACAATTAGTTCACAATTTAGTTTTATATGAAAGATAAAGAAAAAATAAACATATTTAATAATTTAATTTAATAAATTAATAAGAATATTGTTTTTTCTTCATAAATTAAATTTTTCATAATTTTAAAATACTTAAAATTTTTATTTTCAGGATATATATAAGACTTATATATAAAATCATTCGTAATCCGATAACATTTTATTTTGTCTTATGAAATTTTTCCTATCTTCTAGATTTTATTATTTTATTAATAATTATTTATAATATTATTATATAATATACAATATATATTATTATAAAATATTTTATTAATTTGTATAATTGAAATAAAAAAATAAAAAAATAGATTTAGTAATTGCAGAAAAAAGAAATAATTAAATTATCAAATGATGAAATATTCATTTCTATTATGAAAACAAATTCTATTAAAAAAAATATAAACTATGTATATATATTAGTCTTTGAAAATATTTGATAATAAAAATATTGATTTTTAATATTTCAATAAAATTTAATGTTTTTTTACCTATAATTAAATTTAATATTAATCATATATATAATTAATAGAAGAGATATGATAAAAACATAAGATAAGTAAATATGCTCCTTGATTTTAGCAATTTTAACTAAATTAAAATTTAGTGCACTTGAAATTATATTGTAATAATATAAATGATTCTATTATTTACTTTTGCATAGATATTTTATTGTCATTTGTTTTATATTATATTTTTATAGTATATTATATTATATTTTATTACTTATTAGTAAGAATTAATAATTATACATTATACAGTGATTTTAAATTATATAATTTCGTTTTCGTCAAAAAGAAATTTATTTCAATATCATATCAAGAAAGATGCGCAATAAATAATAATTGTATTTCTCAAAAAAAACTTTGTGTTAATTTTAGATATGAATTTATTTTTGTTTTTTTTTTCTTTTTTATTTTTACCTTACCAAAGAATTATTTTTATCTCTTTTAAATATTTTAAAATCGATTAAATTTATTTCATGAAGAATTTTTTCAATTTTTATTGTTATTGCATTTTTTTTCAATAAAATTTATTTCATGAGACACATATGTTTACATATAATTTATCAAACAAATTTTATTTAAAATCTTTAAATAAATATTTCATTAAATTGATCGAAAAATAAAAAAAGAAAAAAAAGAGATAATATTAAAATCACTCACCGTCGATGAAAGATGAGATAGGGCTTATTGATAATCTTTTAATATTCTGCGATTGATCTTCCATTTTAGAGTTAGAGATGCAACACCACTGCACGTGCGCATAGATCCAATGATTCCAATGAGACCTTTAAACTATTAATCAACAAATATTTCCGAAATATAACCGCCACGATAGATATTTTTTTCTTTAATTAATTATTATCGAACGATATGTTAATTCTCTTTCTTTCTTTTTTCTGTCTTTTTTTTCGGTGAAGAATAGACAACTATGATCTTAATACAAAGATGAAGAAGTTTATTATCTGAAACATAATAATCAAAAATATTGAGTAATCAAAATAAAATAAACTAATCATGGAATTAATATCAATTATAAATAATTAATAAAGTTTCATTCAGATTAATCAATTAAAATATAAACATTTTTCTTCGATATATAAATTAAATCTCTATTATATTTTCGCTGTTGTATTTTGATAACCAACAAATTTTTAAATTAAATAAAAAATTAATAACATATATAATTTTTCTAAAATCTGATTCCTGATTATCTGTATATACTTACTTTATATTATATTATAATATACATCGAAAATTATAAATATAAACTATAATATTTATTTTATAATAAATACCGACTATTTTAATTTTAGTTTTCATTACTTAATTAATAATTTTAGTTTAATTAATTTTAATTTAATTTAAATTATTTTAAATCTCATTTTTTCACTTTTAATAATTTAAATTATTATAATTAAATTATTATAAATTATTATAATTATTATTAAACA